AAAAAAAATTCATTTAGCAGATAGATCTTAAAATAAAATATTAAGATACCTAAAAGCATTTGAAGACAGAAGTCCTAAAACTGAATTCTACCACTACCTCATGCTATACATATAGTGTTAGAATAGTGTTAGACAAGAAACTTTGACCTCTGAATTCTTAATTTATAAAATATGAATAAACATTTAATGTGTCTACTTCATAGGACTTCTATAAGGACCTAATGTGAAAGATTATAGGAATCCTAACATATTTTAGTTTTATAGAGTTCACCTCTCCCCCCCAAAAAAATACCAAATTACAACTATATAAGTACAAAAGTCTGTTTTACTATCAAAGAGATGATTGTAAGAGAAAAGCAGCTATAAGTTTTTGTATCGATCTCTCAACTCTTCCTAAGGTTAGTTGATAAAGCAGATCAAAAGATCTTAACAGCATAAATAAAAAATTTAAATAAATGCTGAAATTGAAAACAGAAAATATTGGGAGAAATAGTTTAGATAAAATACATAAAACATAAAGCAATAAAGTAAGTTATATTTGAGTTTCTAATCAACAGGTTATAAAAGAATTAAAATTTTAGTGTTCAACTATGTAAAAATCTGTATGCTCAGTTGCACAATAACATTTACTACAAACATTGAAAAGCAAAAATCACACTAAAAAAAAGAAAAGAAAAACACAGAAGATGTTCACTTTTTTTTTAAAAATGAACCCTCAATTTTCAACTATAAACTGTTAAGTAATTTCTTTGAAAACATGTAACATAATAAACCATTCAATTTGCTTTTTTCCCACAGATTTTACATTTGTTTTTTGAAAGAATCATTGACACATAACATAACCTTGACACAAAGAATGTTAAAACTTTAAAAACATTCAAACTCAAAAATGACAATTATTGCTACATCAAATATTTTATTTCATAGAATTTTTAAAAATGGTTAATTGATGTAGGATTTCATGAAAATTTCATAGCATTGAGAATATTCTATTAATTGAAAGAGCTGATTCCTAATCCTATGGATGAACAGTAGTTTACAGAATACTTGGACAAAATTTCTTCCTTGTTAAGATCATATACTTGCTCAGGCCAAAAGACATATTTGTATAATAAGTAATAATGCAGATCTTGGAGTCAGAAACATCTGGATTCTTATTGCTCAAAAGATTGTCTTTTGTAGCAGGCACATCAGCATCACCTGGGAGCTTTTTAGAAATGTATCTCTGGTTCAGTCTGTTGAATAAAAATCTGCATTTTAACAGGAGCCACAGGTGATTGGCATGCCCATTAAAGTTTGTGAAGTGCTGTCATACATTACTTATTAGACACATTTCCTTGGGCACGTTTCAGGAACCCTCAAAGGCCCTATTTACTCATCAAAAAATGAGGCTGATAATAGTTATCTAGACTATAATATTAGTGTGAAAAGTAATTAGATAATGTTTCTTAGTAATAAACATTTAGTAAAATCAAATTAATATTAAAATTCTAGTATCTAGCTCGGATTTGTATATTCATGATTTTTCACTATACTTAATATATAAAATTACACAGGTACAACATCAAGATAAATTAAAGCTCCTTGAATCCAGGTGTCTTCCTGAATGTAAGCCTACAGCAAAAATAAAACTAAATTAATAATGCCATTTGCATTCATTTGCAATATAATGTAGCACCTGTTTAACAATTGGCCTCAAAATGTTTCCCTACTAAATAATGTGTTTTCTATTTTTGTGGAATCAAAGTTAAATAAAGAATTCAGTTTGAAAACAAACATGACTCTTTCTCCCAGACATAAAACTTAACAAATTCTACATTACTTAAACTTTATACCTTCTGTATTCTGCCATAATGAATTTAGGATAGTCACTGATCCCCCACAGATTTCAAATAATGCATATGTCTTGAGCTTCAATTACAAATGACAAGAAGAAGTCACAAAAGGTTCCCATTATAATCCAATTGTGACAAAATACCTGCTATTTACAACCTTTTCCAAGAGATTATGATGTCCAGATTACCTACTTCCTGTGTCTAAGAAAAAATAATTTAAGCTGATAAAAAGTAATATACATAGAAATATTTTCAGTTATCACCAGGATCACCAAAATATAAAGCACCTTATTTTTATTAAGTAATTTTTATTGCAAACATACATATCTCTAAGAGTTTTAAAATAATATTCACATTCCTAAAATTGAAGATAATAATGCTTTTAATTGTCTAGTTATGAAATTTTATCTTACTCAATTATGTATTTTTTAAATACAATGTTTCAAATTTTTGCAATACAACATGCCAAATATTCCAACAGAGAGTGCTGCTACATTACAAAACCCTGGACACTTTAACAATCATTATAAAATAATCATAATTGTCTAAAACAGCAAGGAAATTTTTGAGGGCCAGCATATGTATAAAATGTAACAAGCTAAAACTCTGAACTGTGAGTGAAAAGCAAACAGGAAATAAAGGGTAGTCTTGGAAGAAAGATCTGTCACAGTGCTGAGGTCTAAAGAATAACTCCAGCATTGTAGCTAACAAAACATATGTGAAATTTTTATGAAAAAAATTAAAACTTTGTTGAATGACCTAAAAAATTGCTTAATGGAAAGAATATCCTGCTTATAAATAGAAAGACAAAATGTAATAAAGATAAAAATTCTTCCCAATTTGGTCTGAGTCAGTATGATCCCAATCAAAACCCCAATGGAGATTTTTCCCAGATTTTCAGGCTCAATCTATAATAAAGATAAAATGTAAAAATTCAAGAATAGGCAAGAGGGGCTGGGGTTGCAGCTCAGTGGTAGAGCACTTGCCTAGCATGTGTGAGTCACTGGGTTTAATCCTCAGCACCACATATAAATAAAGAAACAAAGGTATTGTGTCCATCTACATCCAAAAAAACTTAAAAAAAAAAAGTTGAAAGTGGATCAAATACTTAAATATGAAAGATAAAACTTAGAACCATTGAGAATAAAATATTTTTAATTGTGTAATCAATAATTAATAATAATTAATAATTTAATAAGGGTAGGAAAGGATTAAAATTATATTTTTAGATATAATATCCCAAAAATACTAATAATTAAAGAAAAGTTGGCTTTGACTGCATTAAAAATAAGAACTTATTAAAATATATGATAAAGACAGTGAAATAGCCAAAATTAGGAAAACATTTGCCTTGTATATAACTAAAATGAGTTAATACTAATAACTCATAATCTACAATCAATTATAAGAATAAAAATATGCAAAAGATATGAAAAGATATTTCACTGAAGATGAAGAGAAAGATGATCACATTACAGGATGATTTCCTTATTAGCAATTAACAGAGATACCATTTTATATGTTTGCACACAATTAATAAGTCTGACACTTTTACATTTGTCCAGAATATGGACTACTGGGAACTCATGTATTTCTAGTAGAAATCTAAATTGAAACAACTATTTTTGAAAACAATTATCACACTTTTTAAAGCTGACTTTGTGAATTCCCTATAATAATTCCACTGTCCTGTATTCTTGCACATGTGTACCAAGACACTTTTCAAGAAAATTCAGCAGCACTAGTCATAATAGCATCTATCTAGAAGCAACCCAAATAATATATAAATACATAAATGGAGCTACATCCTCATAAAATAATATATACCTGTAAATATGATGGACATGGTTTTGTTAGACATATCTCTTAGACATGGTTTTGTTTTCCATAGCTTCAATTACACATGCTTAAGCATAGTCTGAAAATATTAAGTGGAAAATTCTAGTAAAAAGTGATTCATAAATTTTAAATTGCATGCCAGTCTGAGTAGCATGATAAAATCTTGCCCCATTCTGCTCACGTCACAAATTACTCCTTTGCCAAGCATATCCACACTATATATATTATCTCCCTGTCACGTACTATGGTGCCAAGTCAGGTATCAAGTCAACTGTCAAAGTACTGCAAAGCTTTTGTTCAAATGACCTTTATGAGGTAGCCTAGTGCTACATCAACAACATCTACTTCATTTTATCCCCTTGATATTACATCATCTGACATCACAAGAAGGAGTGTAAATACAGAATACTAGGATATTTGTGCAGAGAGAAAGGATAGTCACATAACCTTTATTACAATATATTGTTATCATTGTTCTATTTATTATTATTTATTGTTAATTTCTTTCTCTTCCAAATATTGTCATAAATAGGTATATATAGGAAAAAAAAAAAACAGTACAGTCAGACCTCCACATCCACAGGTTCTGCATCCTCCATGCATATTGATAGATGACTATGAAGGGTTCAGTACTATCTTTGGTTTCAGACATCCACTGGGCGTCTATTCTAAGAACCCTCGTGGATAAGATAGGATTACCATAAAATGAATTAAAGCTAAATGCAAAATACAGATAAATCATACAAACATAATGTTGGTAAAGAAAAGTTGCCAAAGACTGCTTACAAAATGATACAATGTCTACAAAGCTCAAAAGTAAGCAAATAAAATATAACTTGTTTAGCAAAGAAGTTATGTGAGGTACAGTGATTTTTATAAAACAAAGAAATGATCAGTCAATTATCTAGTATATAGGCCACATCTGACCAGGAAGGAGGATGATGCAATGGGAGAGTACTAGAATTTAAGGGTGCTAATAATATCCTTGGTTTTATGTCCTATAATAAGATTTAAATGTGTTCATTATTATGCATAATGATTTACATATGCAGAAATATACATACATATGAATTGAATATACTTTTCAGATGTTATTAAAAACATAGTACTGTTATAAAAATAAACCACTATTTAGATAAAAGTTGCCTGATTATTCTAGGTTCCCAAAAAAATCATAATCTTTCACTGTTTTATGAATGCATCACATGAGCACAATTACTAAAGTAAAGAAAGCACATCAAACAAAACCTCCGAATAAAGCATGAAAAATAAATAATAGGTAAGCAATAGTAAATAACAGAAGGAGCAGATCCAAATTAAACTCACCACCAGGGCTTTAGATCTGTTGCTTAGAAGTTTCTCAATATCCCTGGCTGCAATTTCCACCAGCTGGCGTGCATTATTTGGTTCCACAGTATACAAATCCTGGTATTTCTCATAAATCTGAGTGAAAGGAAAAGGAAGTTAATAAGAATAATAATTGCCTCTTGAGCTCATACATTCCCATTAGAAGGTATTTAAAACTATAAACAAATGATTAAAAAGATCTACCCTTCTCTTTCTTCATTTGGATGATTTTGAAGTTTCGGTAAAAGAGGAAAACATAAATATAAATTTGCTATCAGACTACCAGCTTGCTAAAATAGTAGTTTATGTCATAGGTTGTAAAACAGCTTGTACCAAAATAGTTTGCATTTGCAATTTTGAGGTTTGAAGCTGTACCTGCCCACCCCAGCATCACAACCTGGTATTAACTGTCAATCACCTTTTACAAAAAAGGGTGGTCATGGTAGAAAATAGAGGGAGAGATGCAGCATGCAGGTCAAACCTGGAAGGAGTGTGTGGTAAACAAAGGTAGGAAAAAGGGTTATATCATAGAGAAGATCCCTCCCTGTAATGGAGCTAAACCATGCTGCTAAACCTTATGGAGATTCAGCCAGGTAACACAAGGAATTTCAGGGACAATTTACATGTAGACAAGTTGAAGGTTATTAAAATCTACAGTAAATGTTTGGTTAGAACTGTAATAATATCTTCAATTTTTTATCAAATTAAATGTTTTCATGTGTTTTTTGAAATCACTGAATCAAACTATACCAAAATTAAGCTAAGTGACAGAGAAAAACTCAACTTTATTTCTGGTTCATCTCTAGGATTTCCCTAGAGTGACATAAGCTACGCCTGGTTTACACAGCCTGTACACTCCCAGCAGGAGAGGAGGAATTAAAGCTGGGAAGGAGGCAGGGAGCAGTGGCAGTGTTTGTGGCTGGAGTGTTGAGCTGAGAAGGAAATCCCTTATGCATGGAACAGATGGGGTGCACATGCATGACTAAACCATCTTTGAAAGCCAGGACCTGGCAGGTTTTTACTGTCTTATGAAAAGTGAATCCAGGCACACACCAAAGCCAGTTCAACCCTGCTTTTTTCTGGCTCAGCTCCAGCAAATCTGTTTTACTACCAACAGGTTCTACAGCCAGGTCCCAGGGGAGCATGACGCTGCTGGTGAACACTGGCTTCAGGCATACACAAATGCCTATACTAACATTCATCCAGCACATAGTACATTAGTTTCCCATGGACTTAAAACTTTTTTAAGGGAGTTATAGTTAATTGGCATTTAAAAAGATCTCAATCACATTTTACTCCTAAAATTGATTGATTAATTTAAACTCTGAGATTTTTCCCCATAATCATTTGAACACTGGCCTTATTCATTTGAATTATCCAAGGCACATCAATTTAGTGACATAAAGATCCTATATTTGGTTTCCAGTGCATATCAATGGATTGCTTATGCTTTCACCAGGTGGATATGGGGGTCCTCTTCTCCATACCAAGCTTATCCATGAAGAAATCCCTCCAAGGAGAAGCTCTTTTTTCAGCCTCAGATGAGATTCAGGAATGAGAATTCTTGAATTGATTAAATGATTTGGGTTACAAGTAGATAAACCTCAACATCATTTGAATTTGATTCAGGATATTTAGTTCTTTGCAGTAAAACCAATAGAACTAATTGATGGGAAATGTACTGTGCTTTGTACCATTAATACCTTGTTCATTTCTCTACACGGTCTGACCTCCTTCCTGTGGTACAGAGAGAACAATGTGCTTCATAGCTGATAAAGATTATTTCAGATGTACAATACATACTTCACGTTATTGACTACAGATAATGTCAGTTATTAAGTCACTACAGGTGCCCAGCACATTACTAAGTGGTTTAAAAATGAATGGAGTGTAAATCAATTTATCTCAAGTATATACATATCATCTAGAATATATACAAAATGTTCCCTCAAATTATATTTCCATTATAATTTTAAAACAATTAACAAATACTGAGGTGTGGTTTTGAATGTCCCCCAAATATGCTAAAAGCTAGGTCCCTGGGGTGGTGAAAACTTTGGGAAATGGAGCCTAGTGGGAGGTACTCAGGTCATTGGAAATGTGCCCTAAAAGGGTATTGTGGGACCATGATGCCCTGCCTCTTTTTTTCTTTTGCTTCCTGGTAATTAGTTTAGCAGTTTTGCTCTACCACACACTACCATCTTGATGTACTGCCTGACCATAGGCCCAAGCTATGGGGCCAATTGATCATGGGCTGGAACCTCCAAATCCATAAGTTAAAATATAAACCTTTTCTCTTTATAAGTTAATCATCACAACTATTTCACTATAATGATAGAGAACTGACTAATAAAAAGAGAGAAATATAAACTCTGTCTCTAAAGTAAGTCCGAAACAGATGAATTCAAGAAAGTCTAGAACCCAAGAATAAATATCTGGCTATATTCTTTCATATATAAAACTGCAATTGGAATGTTTTCTTTGATAAGAAAAATGAGTTAAAACTATGTACCCACCTCACCAAAAGAACTAGCTCTCACTTTTTGGCTTTAAAAAACACAATATTCTTTGTTGTTGTATGAACACTTATGAAGTCTCTCGAAAAGTTTTCAGATAAATACTTAGTAAACAATTTTCAAAGTAGAAATTTTCACATAGATTTTTAATATGATGATACATTTCATAACATAAATATACTTCTATTTTCACCACTGAAATAAGCCACAATTCCACAATATTTAATATATTAGAATATTAATATTAAAAAGCACAGCCTAAAGTATCTTTTTTTTGTGTGATTACCTGCTTTGTATTTTTACCCAATTATTTCGTGAAGGAAAAATAGCATGTTAGAAATAATATGAGTTTTTAGCACCAGACAGCAGACCATTCAAATCATGTCAGCTTCTCACATGCTACATGATATTGGCCTTTCTACTAAAAAGAATGTGGCATAAAGACAAAATTCAGGATGGGATATTTTCCCTACTGAGTGATACACTAATGTGCTTTAGTTTTACTCCAATGTGAGTCCTATTATTATTCTAAACACAGTCTTCACAAAAAAAGAATGCTTGTCACCTGTACATTCTCTCAGAATCTTAACTGACTTTAATGATCTTCCACTGCTACATTCAAAGACTAAGTTTCACTGAAAACAGAACACATTATAGTTCTTGCCTTCTTCACAGGTAACTTCTTTCAAATCACTTTCCTCTAAATTAAGTCCATAGTTCCCAGATAATCTTCAAAATAATACACTTAAAAATAACCTCAAATGTACTAACTACAAAGTGACACCAGTCATTGATATAATTGCTTAACAAAATTCATAAAGAATCGTTATACAAACTATAAAACTTTCCCAAAGATACTAACTGAAAACTTAAATATGTCTCCAAGTTTTAGATCGCTCCCTAGATTATTAGTAGCAACTAATTTTAGGCATCCAGTTTATACCATTTCTAGGTGTTTTATTCTATTATTCCCTTTCAGAATGCTAAAAATAATTTAAAAATTAAAAAAATTAAAAGAATTAGCTAACCAACAAATTAGGTTAGTTATGGTTTTGGAATATCAGACGGGGGCAGTTTGAGTCCCTAAGAGTGCAAAATCACTGCCCAGAGCAGCAGAAGAGATGAAAGGTAACCTGGTATGAATTAGGAGAAGAGAGTCTGAAAAGCCACTCTACACTTTGGACCTCCATTGACTCATCAGATGTAATTTCAGAGGAAAACCCCTTAACATAAGTGAGAAAATCCCTGAGAGTTAAGAGCGAACACCTTCGTAAAGATAGTCTCAGTGCAGGATCAAGGGAACTCCAATGCAGAGGTTGATGGGAAGAAAAGGTCCAGCTAAAGGATGATGGTGAACCACCTAGAACAAAGGGACTCAATGTAGTTGGAGGAGAGAGGCCAAGTCTTTGGTGCCACGAGTTTTCAGTATCTATGTCAAGAGAACAAAAGAAAGCAACTATCCCAGAGCTTACTTCCCCTCACATCTAGACCTCAAGGAGCAAAGTCAAGAACATTAGAGAATATTGCAAAGTGGTTGGAACTTGGAATTTATTAAATTACCATAAAAGGTTGTTTTGGACTGGAAAAGATCAACCATCAAGTGGTTAGATTAATCACCCCTCTCACCTTTTTGTGAGAGATAATGGCAACTTATAAGCAAGTGAAGTTCCCTAAAGAGATACACTCTAGTTTCTACATACTGTAACTTAGGCATATAAACTTTGACAACCCTAAATCAATATGTGTGTGTTTCTTTCCCTTTCGTGGAACCTGTCCTGGACAGGCAATCAGGATGTCTTTCATGCCCAGCCATCTTACTTTGGGAAGTTTCCCCTCAGGGTGTCCCAAGTAAAAAAGGAGGCCAAGAACTTCCTTACACATACTTCATGATATTCTGATGTGTAGCTTTGCCCATTGGTCCCTAACTAATTGCCAGAACTTATAACAGACCTAGGAGATGCTGACTACTAAGTCAATAGCTTATGAGAAGCTAAGGAAAAAAGATCTGTGTAAACAATAATATCACACTGAGCCAAACAGATTTCTCACCATAGGACAGCAGTTGTACAGAATAGTGTAAATCCAGGGCATTAACAGCAATGAAAAGATTATCTGGAGGAAAAGAGTATTCAGATATATTGAGCAACAGAAATTATGGCTGTGGTCACCAGAACAATAGCCTCCCAGAGATCCTAATCCTCAGAACCCGAGTGAATATGTTGTTATACTGCAAAAGAGAACTCAGTTTGCTGATGGATGAAGATTGCTAATCAGATGAATCCAAAAGATCCTTAAAAGTGGAAGAGGAAGGTGTGACTAAGGAAGGAAACCAGACATGGAGGAAAGAGAAGAAATCTCCCTAACATTGCTGGCTTCCGTTGAAGATGGAAGAGTAATAAACCAAGGGAAAGACATGTGAAAATTGTAAAATAATGAATCTGCTTGTGTAAGCCAGAAATTTGTGGTAATTTGTCACAGTAGCAATAGAATTCTAACACAATGAATTAGTCATAGCCAGGAGCTCCCTGCTCAGAGTCCACAATGAAAATCCACCTCTGAGGCTGCCTTGCTCTGGACATC